TCCGCAACTGAAAATAGTTGTGGATGATTACTATACCTTTCTAATGTGACGTTGTTGTCCCTGGCACTCTTTCTCTCTCTTTCCCTCCTGCTCTGTTCCTGTGCTACTACCTGTAATAACGGCCCTCCCCCCTCTTCCCAGCGAAGGAGGTGACCTAGCGAATAAATAAGTGGTGTACTGCAAATTTGGGTATTAAGTTGTTTAAATGTACTTACAAAAATAAATGGCCAACATCAAACTATAATCAGTCCAATGAGCAGTACAGAACCCTGATTGTAATTTATATAATGTTTTATTTCTCTAGGACACCTGTAAGTTACTTAGCAACAAACACATACGTTTCCGTCAAGGTGGTTTTAAGATATGAGTTTCCCAGTATCAGCCACAGAAGAAGCGGTCGCTCACTCTGTTCATGTAAACGACAGTGAAGGATATGATTTTTGACGCTGTTTCTACAACAAAAACGATGGCGCAGCCGGCGGAAAAAGGTACGTCTCACTGCAAAGTTAATTATTAAAAACACAGCAGCACAGATTACTGATACGAACCAGACCTCTGCTTGTGACCCTGAACACGCTTCCCTAAAATCTCAGCATTTTATACTTCCACTGGGATTACAGAATTACATACTTTTTTCTCCTTAAAAACAAGCTAAAAACCAAAACTTTAAATCACCTGATGTTGCCCTTTCTTTATTGTGCTTCACTGTCTTGCAGCATACTATCGCTTTGTGGTGCTCTTCTTTAACTGTCTGCTGACCTTTGGGTCCTACTTTTGCTTCGACATTCCCAGTGTGTTACAGGATCAGTTCCAAGGGGTGAGCAAGAGGCAGCGCTGCTTACAGATCGCATCAATATTGCACGACTTGATTATCAGGAGGGAAAGACTGATGTTGTTTTTAATGTTTGACAGAACCTGACGTGTCCCAATGCGACGGTGATCAATGGGACAGTGGACTGTGTGGAGGGACTGGGGATGACCCCTCAGCAGTACAATCTTCTCTATGCCATCTATGCTTGGACGTAAGCACGTTAATGCATTGATTTCACTGTGAAAATGCAGAAAAGTGGCTTATCAATGAGAAGCTTCTCTCTGTTATCAACAGGAATGCAGTAGTGGTGATCCTGGCTGGATTCCTGATTGACAAATTAGGAAATCGCTGTAAGTTTTGTTTTATGTTTTCTCTCTGCATGGTCTGCAGTTGTTTTTAATCTACTGACAGTAAAATGATGGTACAACCATTTCTTTTGCTCCTCTTTGCAGTCGGTGTGTTTCTCTTCTCTTTTCTCTGTGTTTTGGGCTCATCACTGTTTGCTCTCGGCTCCCACTTCAAGGGATCTCCCTACTTGCTGCCACTAATGCTCACCGGCCGTCTGCTGTTTGGATCAGGCAATGGATCTCTGACTAGTAAGTTGTCTTCATGGATATAAACAAATATTCTCTGCAGCATCGCATTTGAGGAGCATTTCTTAACCGCTCAGTTACCTTTCTCCTTCTTCATTAGTTGTTCAGAAACGCATCACAACCTTCTGGTTCAAAGGGAAGGAGTTGGCTTTGGCTTTCGGCCTGACCGTGGCCTTCTCGCGGCTGGGCTCGGTGTTGAACTTCTTCCTCACGCAGAAGTTTGAAGAAAAATATGGCATGCAGTGGACACTCTGGGGTGGTAGGTGACGAATGCGAAGAAATCTCAAGGATTATGGTGTGGTGCCATGTGACCTGGGTTTCTCATGTTATTGTTTCTTAGGTGCACTGTTGTGTGTGCTGGGCTTCACTTCCGCTGTCATTGTCAGCACCTTGGACAAGATTGGAGTGAGACAGCTGGGTCTCGATGGAGCCATCCAAGAAGAGTCTCGCAAAGTGGTACGATCAATATCCTTTAATAAAAAAAAAAACATGCATACATAACACTGAAGATTAAAACCTTAATTTTTCAGTATTATGGACACACTAGTGATCTGTGTGTGGAGCATCATTTATTGTTGTGTGTTTTTATGTGTAGAGGATTCAGGATGTGAAGCTCCTGTCAGTAAGATACTGGCTGCTGGTTCTCACCATCATGTTCTTCTACAACGGCATCTTCCCCTTCATTGCTGATGCAAGGTAGAGTTCTCAACATAAAGTGTGAGCATAAAGACTTGTACATGCAGAGCTGCTTTCAGAGTCATCCGTGAAACTTAAACCTGCATTCCTCTAAATACAACAGCACGTATTGCAAGTGCAAGTGATACTAGTGTCACAAACATTTACATCTGTCTTCTTCTTTTTCCTTTTTTTTTCCATATCCCAGCAAGTTCATCCAGGATAAGTACAGCTACTACAGCCAGGAGGAGGCAGCTTATATTGTGGGAGCAGTCTATGACAGCTTAGTGGTCCTCTCAGCCATCGTGGGCATTCTCATTGTACGTATCTTTAATTTAAACCCAAATCTTATTCCTGTCTTCAATTAAATTTTTTTCATACTGCACCAGATCAAAACAACTGTCCCTGTAGGGTGCTTTATATGGTATGCTAAGACCCCCCATGAGCAAGGACTTTGTGACAGTGGGAAGAAAAACTCCCTTTTAATAGGAATAAACCTTCATCAGGTACAGGAGGAATCTTGAAACACTCTCGCTGTCATGCGTTTCAGGATTATGTGGGTCTGCGGGGAGTTTTTGCATTGGCGAGCGCCGTCTTCACACTGCCCGTGTTTGGACTCCTGGCTTTCACTTTTGTCCCTCCTCTGGTTTCAACCATATGGCTGGGAGTCACCTACTCCTTTGCTGCTGTGAGTGCGGATTTTTTTTTTTTAATTCATTTTTGATAAATAAAATCTTAGACGTCAGAGTTAAAATGGTAAATTATTACAATGAATTAATGTATTTTCTAGTATGTTAAACTTGTTGCTGCCTGTGTGGCATTCCAGGCCAGCATGTGGCCGTCTATTCCCCTTGTCATACCTCAGGCAACTCTGGGAACTGCCACCGGCCTGGCCACCTCCGTACAGATGTTTGGGGTCGGGATCTCCAATCTCATTGTTGGACAGATACTAGGCACCAAGTCCAGGTGGGGAGAACCTGACATTAGAATCTCATTGCAGTGCACTTGTTTAGAAGGTACCATGAAAGCTGCAGCAATCGCTTCAGAGTGTCGGGTCAGAACATTTGTTAATGTTCACATGAGTGTGGAACAAAACAGCAGAGTCCAAGTTGTTGTTCTTCATATTTAAAATTGAGAAGTGTGTGTGTGTGTGTGTGTGCGCGTGTGTGTGTACAAAGCATAATAATGCAAACCAGTTACACTTCAAATTACATCATACACATAAAGATACAGCTGAGCTGCACTCAAATGCAGTATATAAATAAATAAGCTGGCATATTACTTCAGACTCGTTATGTAAACCTAAAGTCGGATAATATGAATTAACACACCACATACAGCTATGCAATGAAAGCAACTTCACACTATTTAACATCCAGTACACAGAGCACAGAAACAACAAATCTCTCTGCTAGAAGCTAGTCAGTAATAAAATCTGTTATGTTAGCGAACTGCCACTTATGCAGAACCTCATTTAAACAGAAGCACAAAGAACTGCTCATATGTCATCAAACATGCTAAACATGGCTAAACAAAAACATGACTAAGTGAAGTACATCTTTAAACATATGGTCTCATGAGCACACGCACTGTCAGTTGTTTAGCTGCTGTTTGTCTCTGAGATGAAGCTGCCCACATGCACACCTATGGTGCATTCAAGGGTACATGGGAAATCCCACACACAACTCTACCTTTTTGTACAGCACTAATTGTCCTTCCAGTCTTGTTTAGCTCTGCAGTTTCTCCATTTGTGTTGCAGTGAAACTAAGATCCCGCTGTGGCGTTGGCAGAGGATGATGATCTTCATGTTGGCCAACACCATCAGCTGCATTGTGACCTCAGTGCTGCTTAACGTTGTTGATCACAGACAGGTCAGACATCTGAGGTTACCTCATTTGGTTACCTCATGACTTTATTTTCTCGAAACACTATCAGCAGAAAGTTAATGATGCCCCCCACCCTTACAGGACGGGATCCTCAACAAGACAACAAGAAGTCAGGGCAGGCACAAGAAGGCTCCAAGAACTCGGGCGCAGAGAAACTTGAAGTGAAAGCCGCTCACCCAGGCAGAGGAGAGGAAGAGCCAAATGAACAGAAAGGACACTTTCTTTAGTAAAGTAGAAGTACAGATACCTGGGTTAAAATAAAATACTCAATTAAAAGTTGAACTACTGAAGCAAATTTTTTACCTAAGCAAGAGAGAAAAAGTACAGGCTCTGAAATGTACTCAAAGTAGGCAAGTAAAAAGTTCTTGAAGGACAATTCTACTGAATTGTCCTTCAAGAACTGTTAAAATGACAATCAATCTAATTGAAACAGCTGCATGTTACAGATGTGGCCTCAAAGATTTGTAGTTTAGATTTAAAAGCACTTAATGTAATGAACTCAGTCATTTTCCATTCGTTCTGCAGTTTGTTCCAAGCTAAGGGTGCTAAATGAACAAAAGCTCTCTTACCAAATTCAGTTTGGGCAAATATACCATTTATACTGTCTTTACACTAGACAGTATAATGTTGGAATTCAGTGAATGAATCTAAGCATCACTACTATAAAGGGACTGAGTAAGGTGCTGCTGAAATGGTGGTCAGCAGTATTTCTCATGTCAGAGATAACAGAACTACCATTAAAGTCAACCTCAGGTCCTTGGTCGCCTCCCTGACTGAGATACTTCTTGCAAGAAAAGCATGTGAAGAGTCCTGCCAAATCAAAAGGTCTTCTACTTCAATGTTCTTTAAGTCAAAGTGTTCCTGAATGCTTCTGAAGTCATTTTGTAAGCGTGGATTTTCTTTGATGTCATGTTATTCGTCTTCACATGCAGTGAATGAGTAACTACCATCTACTTAGGTATGTGTCTGCTTGTTTGTTTGTTTTTAAGCAATATTTAACTCATTACCACAGGTTGATTTCACTCAGGTTATTAAATGACAGATTTTCATTTATTTGACTTTATCTACAGGACATAAGTAGATAATTCAATTTTAAAACACATTTTATCTCTGCTGAAATAGCTATAATAACTACTGCCATGAATAACTGTGTGGACATTACTGCTGTTACTAAATCATGTTATATACACTGAACAAAAATATAAACGCAACACTTTTGTTTTTGCTCCCATTCCCCATGGGATGGA